TAGAGAAACATGATAAATCAAATATTTTTTCTTCCGTGGTTTTTTTGCGTGAATCTTGTGCTTTCTGTGTTACGAGTGAAACAGATCTTGCGGAAGAACTCATGCCTGATCGCGACAGTGTTATCAGACGTGAAACCCAAAATGCGCTGAATATTGTTAGTCAGCGTTACCAATAATTGAGGAGATTTTTTTCAATTTACCAGTGACTGACAATTGCCTCGATATTGCAGAATATGTTGAGATTCTTGATGTTTATCTTCAGGTCGTAACAAAATAGGCACTTGAGGATTTTTTTACACAGAAATCATCCTAGGAATTGACTGGTCTGCGTAGCTTGATAAAAGGAAACCAAAAATTGTAAAGCCAACGATACCAGAATCGGATTTGTACATTATGGAATTTGAAACAAAAGAAAGGCGAGAATAACAAGATTACGTTATTAGCGTTGACGACTATATAAAGACGATGATGGCGGGCTAAGTTACTCTGGCCACTTACGATTTGCACCCACCCACTCTTCCCCACTAAAATTTATAATCAGAATCCAACTAAAATATAAATACGTAAAATACGGCTCTGAATTGCTACGAAGTATCTGTATCTAGGTCGGTTCCAGGTTCGGAGTGTTCCAAGAATGGTACTGTTTTAGAACACAATTTTTAATTTTTGTTTCATGGTGGCGGGCCGGATTACAACCATTCGAAGGCTGGAGATGGTGGTGATGGAGATGGCCCTTCCCTGGACAAAGGGGTCAAAGACTTCTTACGCTGTTTCATCCATATCCTTTTTGAAAATAATGATGCTATCAAAACTACAGATGCTGTACAAGAGACTGACTGCTGCTCGCAGAATAGTTACCCTTTCAGCCATTCAGGCTTTAGCAAATAAGAGAATATCAAAACCAAGTCGAATGTTTCGCCCTCATCAACTAGTCCAGGATATTTGAACTGGTAGGAATTCGAGTTCTAGTTATTATATGCTATATACATTTATGTAGCTGATATTGTTCACCCACGTAATTATTATGACAAGATAGCTTACAAAACCCCAGCTATTGGAACAAACTGTTTACATTTATCAGTTTAACAACAGTCTTAGATGAAAAATACAATCAAGTTTCGATATAAACACCAAGATTAACAGCCCATCTTATGCATTGGCCATGATTCTCGATCCAAGTGTTAGATAAAACTCCCCCCCCCCTAAAATTTATATTCAGAATCCTACTAAAATATAAATACGTAAAATACGCCCCTGAGTTTGCTACGAAGTATCTAGGGCAGTACCAGGTTCGGAGTGTTCCAACAATGGTACTTTTTTTGAGCACCTTTGATTTTTGTTTGATAGTGGCGGGCCGGATTACAACCATTTGAGGGCCAGAGATGGTGGTGATGGAGATGGCCCGTCCCTGGACAAAGGGGTCAAAGACTTCTTTCGCTGTGTCATCCATATCCTTCAATTTAAAAATAATGATGTTATCAAAGCAACAGATGCTGCACAAGAGACTTTGACTGCTGCTCGCAGAATAGTTACCCGTTTCAGCTATTCAGGCTTTAACAAATAAGAGAATATCAAAACCAAGTCGAATGTTTCGCCCTCATCAACTAGTCCGGGATATTTGAACTCGTAGGAATTCGAGTTCTAGTTATTATATGCTATATCCATTTATGTTACAGATAAAAGAAATCCGAATTTTGTTAATATTACTAGCGAACAGCGGGAGATGGTGGAGGAATTCATAATGCTCCTTAAACCATTTTTTTTTTCCTGTGTAATGTTAAATATATGGTTCTCTATATATTTATAAGGGAACAAATATATATATTTATATATTGACGTTAACGTTTAAATTGTGATCATGGTCAGTTTTGATTCTGCAATTGCAATTTTTTTCCTTAAACCATTTGAAGAGGTTATAAAAATGACAAGCTCCACCATTTTACCAATAGCTGATATTGTTACTCACGTAATTATTATGACAAGATAGCTTAAAAAACTCCACTTCATGGAACAAACTGTTTACTTTTATCAGTTTCACAACAGTCTTAGATGGAAAATACAATCAAGATTTGATATAAACACCAAGATTAACAGCCCATCTTATGCAGTGGCCATGATTCTCGACCCAAGTGTTAGATAAAACTAGTTTCACTTTAGAAATTGAATTTATTAAGTAGACACACATCACAAGTTTACAATCCACTGAATGACAAATCACGCGCCCGGGGAATCCCCCTTGACATTTGTCATTTCATTTTGACAGTGATGCCGAAAGTTAAGAGTATATAAACATTATGGACGTCGCTTATCGATTGAAGTTCGGTTATTTCCTCTAACACAAGATACGGGGATATCTTTATTGGAAGCAAATAGCAAAAATGTATTTAACATTCTGTTGAGAGAAGCGCTGAAGCTCCTAGAAGAAGATATTGACACCAAAGTAGAACCAGAAGCTGAAACCGGGTCGAAAACAATAACCAACAAGTATTACTAAATGCAATAACTAATTAATGTAATTATTTTTAATTCGTAATTTTATTAATTTAATTTTGTATTTTTTGTTGAGATTTGTAATTTTATACTTGTTTATTTTTATTTTTAATTTGTATGCTGCTATTATTATTATTTTTGTTTTTATGTAATTTATATGGCTAAATGGCTGGAATAAATGCATTGAATATAAACAAAAGATGGCAGTGTTTCAATGAATCAGATAAGATCCAGACGACAACAGAGTTAGTCTGCCTGTCCATTGTAGCTGAGCGAGGCTGCGGAGCGAAGTGACGGAAAAATATTAGCCAATAGGATTACACATATCCCTGCTAATCTTCAGTAGACAGGTTTTATGCAATCCTATTGGTTAATATTTCTCTGTTTTTTCGTTCAGCAGCCTCGTTCCGCTCAAGTAGAGCCTTACTGCCGAACCGAATAGAAAACTGTTGCTACTCAAGAAAGCGCTGCCATGCAGTCTAAGAAAATTCGACACGGCCGTCAGCACAATTGTCAGTGCATTCGCTCGGGTAGCGAAGGGTGCGGGTTCGAGTCCCCTCTGCTGCTTGGTCCGTGTGGATTTGTAAACTTTTCTTTAGATTTAAACATCTAGCAGATAAATGCTTAAAAAATTAAAAAATCAACTCACAAACTCTTCATTCACATAGGCAGCATACCTAATAAATCTCTTTTGAATCGTCGAATAAATATTTTTTTCCGAATCACCAGCTAAGGAATTTTTTTTAGCTGTAAAGATACGCAGATAGACAGCTATCTCCCCCCTCCCCCTTCATGGCGACGCCTATGCTCTTTACCAAATTTCATTCCAATGACTTCAGCGAGGTAACAGACAGACACACATTCGCATTTATAATTTAATATTAGACTCTAGGAATAAAATTTAAATGGAAAAATAATAAAGAGTTCAGCGAGCTGATCTTCTTTTGTATAATATTTACATACATACAATAAATTAATAAAAAAAAACAACATTACTTACATCAACAACAATTACACTCGTATATAATAAATATTTATTTACAGATCTTTAATTTTAATTTAAATTAAGCTAGTAAACTTCCAATCAAAGTCGCATTACATTGAATCGTTTGACGTCACATGCCAATGAGACGCCATAAATTCCAGACAAAAGTTTTGAATTTAGTTTTTTAACTGAAACACAGTACAGAATGATAAATATCTACTTATTATGTACTCCATACAGATTATTACTTATCATGAGATCGTTTTCTTAAACTTGTAAAATACCCTATTGTGTAAATAAAGTTTTTCTACAAAACAGATTTACATTGTTACAAACCATGTATATCCAAATTTTGTATAAATATTTTTTCCTTATTGAATGCATGATTGCGTCCATATGACATACAGTAGAACCCGTTTAATACGATCACGCTTAATACGATTTCTGGCATAATACAACTTTTGCGTTGGTCCCTTGATGTGACGACTATCGAGTGACGCACGCTAAGCGATGATATTCGATATTCTTCCATTGATGACAAAGCGGCACCGTACGGAATTTAATCAATTGAAGTTCTTATTGAGAATGTGAATAACACACAAGATGAGGCCCTAAGTGATAATGATCAAAAGAAGATGAGTCAACTCCGATTTTGTCACACGCCCAGGCATTATCGGCAGTTAATAATTTAAGACCGTATGTAACTTCTATGAATCAGAGCGAAGACGCACTGCAAAAGTTAAATTATGATGAAAATCTTGTAATAGGGTATTTGAAAGTGTTAAAAATAAAGTGTCAATGGTTAGAATCTATGTTTAGAATGAATATTTGCAGAGGTTTTTACTATTGTTGAAAAAAATATTCATAATTTTACTATAAAGTAACGAAAAAAGTTTTCTTATCTATTGTGACCCAAAACGCTTGGGATTGGCGGAGCCTAAAATGACGTCACACGCAAGTAAACTTCCGGTTTACATGAGTAAACTTCCGGTTGTAGCGTTTGACGTTTTAATAACAGTCGTGTGACGTCACACACTAGTAAGACGCCATATTGTCCAGAGAAACGTTTTCGCGGCAACTTGAAAATGGAGTTTTTGACTATGAAATACACAACAGAATGACGAATATTCACTTTTTACGGACTCCATAAACATTAGTCAAAAAACCTGAGATCGTTTTCTAAAACTTGTCAAATACCCTATTGCTAATGCCTCAAAATCTTTTTGTCAAACTAACATAAGTGATGGATTTGAATACAAACGTAATAATAATACAGTTTTTTTTATAACGTACATAATTCTTAAATATTGCACCTCAATACATACATTCGAATTTTCCCTATCCCGCATAATACGCTCTCCCGCTTAAGACGCGTTTTTGGTTGAGTCCTTGCGAAATCGTCTTAAACGGGTTTTACTGTACTTCATTATTAATTCCACTATTTCTTCGCTTCACCTGGTTTAACGCTAAAATTTTGTATTGCAACCGCAAAACTCAAATTTACACTATCACATTCACAGAAACCCTATTGGTACGGTTCATCAACGTCCAAATTCTGATGTTGCCGTTTCAAATGATACTTCAAATTCACGTTTTGAGTGAAAGCCGCATTGCAAATCATACACTTATATTTCTTCTCAACACTCATATGAGATTGCATGTGGACCTTAAGCCCTCTTAATCTAGGATAACTCTTCCCACAATATTCGCATCTGAAATTCCTTTCGCCCGTATGAACCGCCATATGTTCTTTCAAACGCGAAGGCAAATAGAAGCGCTTCTCGCACAGATCGCATTGGTGTTTGAATATCTTCAAATGCAATCTTCTGTTGTGTTCCCTTAAAGATTTCCTGCTGTCGTAAACCCGATCGCAGTTTTCGCATTGGAACAATCTGTTCTCACCATGAACGTCTATCATGTGTCTGTACCTTATGGAGTAAGACAAGAAATATTGGCCGCATTTATAGCATTCGTAGGAAGCTTCTTTGTTATGAGTCTTAGCGATGTGCAAACGCCTGCTGTATTTCGATTTGAAATTCTTACCGCACTCTTTGCACGGGAAGTTTTCGTCGATCTTCTGGTGGCACCTGAGTGAATAACAGAAGTTTTAGTGTAATAATGTTTAAACCTTTCTAGAGTCTGTGCGGAAAGAGAATGAGCGTGGCGAAAAACGGAACTAACATTAAGATTGTTATTTGGCAATCAAACCCAGCAATCTGTAAAACGTCAAAGTTTTGTATTGATACGGATTTCTTTGTTGTTGGGATTTCTTGCGGTTTTTTGTATTTAATCATGTCTAAAAGGGGTGAAACCATACAAATACGGTAGAAAAGCACTACAGCGCCCTCCAATCTAAATCCCATTTTCTTTCCGCACAGACTCTATCAACAATTCTATAGAAAATTTGTTGCATACAGAGTCCGCGAGAGTATATACTTCATCATCAGCCTATTAATGTCGCCACTGCTGGGGCACAGGCCTTCCCTATGGATGGAATAGGGAGATTGGGCCATTACCCACCACGCTGACCCAGTGCGGATTGGCGGGTGCTAACTACTGCAGATGCAGCCGGGACCAACAGCTTAACGTGCCTTCCGAAGTACGGAGGAACTCGAGATAGAAAATTTTTTGATCAACCATCCAATGACCGACCACTGCGAAAGTTGCTTAACTTCAACGATCGCAGCGGAACGCGATAACCACTTGCACCATCGAGTATAAATATAAATGGCATAAACCAACTAACCTTTGGTGTAAATTCAGCATTCTCTCCTCGAAATAATGCGCTCCGCAAACATCACAAATACAAGTGCCGAAATGTTCAGCCATATGTTTCTTCAGCGCATGAAAAAAGCTGAAACTGCTATCACACTCCAGACACCTCAACGTATTCAGAGTTAGACGAAACTTCAAGAAATCATCTTTCACGTCTCCGTACAATTGCTTGCCGTGTGACAAAGTTATGTGTTCCTTGAACGCAGCCAAATCATCGATTCTGTTCGGGCATAATCGACAATCGATTCTCGATATATCGATTAAAACTAGCTTTTTAGTTAAAGCTACCTAAAAATGAAATATGAATATACATAAATGTTAAAAATAATGAAATATGCATGAAATTCAATATTATACTTGTTTATGAATACATTTTTATGATTATGTATTAGGGATGACGACTATTTTTTTTTTCTTCGTTTATCAGGTAGATTATGAAAAAGTATTGGACACATATTTTTTCTTTTTTCACGTAATATAAACATTGCAGAGATATATTGATTTGAAGAGTCGCATGACGTCACGTTTTGGTACAATTTTCACTTAAAAGTGACGTCACGAGCCCCTACTCCCAAACTTTGACGCGCTATAACTTTGTCATTTTTTGGTTGATTGCCCAAAGAAAAAATACATGTCCATTATTTTTTGATCACCTAACCGACGGGCTAAATAGAATTTCGTTTACTTTACCCCGTCGTCACCCCTATTTTATCGACTTAAATTTGCAATACCCTTAGGCCCACTTGCACGTAAATCTTGAGATATCAAAATAACTTCGAGTTTACTAACTCAAAGTTAATATAACATTTTCTTAACTCAGACTTTATCTTGCACGAACAGAAAATAATCCAAGGTTTACTAACCCAACTAAAAGAGAGAATGATGAATGACGTAAGTATTGTTCTCCCTTTCACACAACAGTATCTTGCATATATCTCTTTCGTAATGTCAAATTTGAAAAGACGTGGTGTTTTTGGGCGTTTAAGTTGAATGGCGTTCTGTATTTTTTCTGTCAAATAGGTGTTTGTATACCGATTGCATGGTATTTTTAAAGTACCTATCTGTCTCGTAAGTTTGTATTTTGTGACAACAATTTCGTGCGGTTATATTTTGTAAAATGAAGAAGAAATAGCGTTTACGTACCCCGAATTTTACAAGTAGTGACCGTTTATTGCTATGTGATATTTTATACAAATATATAAATATTATTGAAAATAAAAAAAATTACGGCGCTACTCTTCTTCAAAAACAAAAAGCTTGGCAGGATATCGGTCAAAAATATCTACCTACTTATATTATAGTCGACAATTTTTTCGTCATCATCAGAAAACAAAAAGTCATCCAAGCATTCAGAAATAAATAAATTAAAATGTTGTCTCTATAAAAACAAACAACACAGCCTATAATAACAATTTTGACGTTTTAAATCTCGAGTTAGCAATTTAACCCTCCAATTTTGTCGGGTTAATTATTTTATTATTTAACCTAAGCTTTAGTGTTAACTCAAGGCAGTGAAAGAAAAAATATTTTTTTAACCTCAGTTTAATAGTTAACTCGAAGGTAAATAAATTAACCCTGGAACGTGCAAGTGGGCCTTACACGGTCATGAACTATAACTAAGAATATATAATGCGATTCAAATAAGAATAGGAAAGTCAATGACCTCTATCTGTGAAATGTCGCTTGAAAAGGACGGTTTGCAAAAAAAATCCTGGATCCCTTTTTTAGCACTCCGCTAATTCAAGAAAAAAAACCAAACATTTGTAAAGAAACAATAACTAATATTGATATTTAATATCAGTTATTTTTTTTTCAATTATGAATGGTTGATAACCTAAATCGTCAACCAAATGTCACTTTAAGTTGCGTTCAGAAACCCAATTTCAAACTTTCGTTTACATAAAGGATGAATGTTCGCATGTGACCTAGAAATAGTGCATGATTATTCATAACTACTCCGGCGGTAATGCAGAGATGACCGGAATAGATAAGCTAGATTCTGATTAATGTTTTTTCTCTACTTCTTAAATATAAATATTATTAAAAATCGGTCTTTTTTTCTCAATCTTAGTAAATAAATGTTATTCAAAAAATCTGATGCTTTTTCTCACTTAATCTTAGTAAATTAAATAAAAACTTTTTTTTGCTCACTCTACCTATTTGGTTTGAATTGACAGCTATGACATCACAATATGGCGCCCAGTCAGTCCTATTCTTAGTTGAATCGCATTATATGTGACATCTTTTAACTTTTGTACATGATAGCAAATAAATAAATAAAATACCTCTCTGAATTGCGTAGGGTCATGAGTTAAGTTATGTTCTCTAAGTTTGCATGGGTCGGTGAAGAGTTCTCTGCAATAAGCACATTGGTAGTCGCTAAAGGAATTATCGAATGGACACACGTAGGAATTCTCAACTATAACTCCGGTATTAAACATGGCTTTGTCGTCTTTGTCTAATGTTGGTTTCACTGGTTCTTTCACTGTATCTGTGGGTGGGAAGAAACGAGACCTATATAAATAAATAAAAGTCTATAATTTTTATTTTTTAAGCATGTAACTGCTTGGTGTTTAAATCTAAAGAAAATATAACTAGAAAAAAAATCCACGCGGACCAGACAGCAGACGGGACTCGAACCCGCACCCTTCGCAATCCGGGCGAATGCACTGACCAATTATGCTACCGCGGCGAAATTCTTCTAGCCATTCTTAAGCTGCAAGGCAGCGCCATTTCTTCGCATTATAGGTAACCCACAATGTCTACTTTTACAAGTATTAAACATTTGAAAGAAGAAATTAAAACTGGTTATGAATGATTGTTTGTGAGAAAAAAAATAGAGTATTTATTATATCGCTGTGTCTATTCTCTTACATGTTGCTCCTATAATCTTGAATTGCGCAAGGTGCAGTTTCGAATTCCATCTAGCCCTGCACCGTGTGATATTTTTTCTAGTAAAAAAATCGAATCTTTAAACTTTTCTCTAGATTTAAACTCCTTGCAGTTAACTGCTTTAAATTTTTAACCCTTGAATATAGTATTTCGTTTGACATTGTGGGTAATCTACACTGCGAAGAGATGGCGCTGCCGTGCTGCCTAAGAATTACTAGAAGAAATTCGACATGGCCATTAAGGTCGCGGTAGTATAATTGGTCAGTGCATCCGCCCGGATAGCGGAGTGTGCGGGTTCGAGTCATTTTTGCTACCAATATTTTTTAGGGTTCCGTACCTCAAAAGGAAAAAACGATACCCTTAATGGATCACTTTGTAGTCCGTCCCTTCGCAATCCGGGCGAATGCACTGACCAATTATGCTAATTATGTTAAATAAATTTACCTACCTTGTTCCCGTAAAGACTGCAGTCTCTCACTCATCTTGGCCAAGCTTTCCAGCATCTCTTCTCTCTCTTTCTCATTATCACTGTCCTCTTTCTTTGATTTCTTCGCTTTGGTAGTTTTCCTGAGTCTCCGTGTTTTCAACGATTTCCTTTTTAGCTTGGTACTCTTCTTTGGTTTCACTGGTGTTATTGGGCTGTAGTTCTCCGAAGGATCTGTTATAGATAACATACATATTATATCGACAGTGAAAAGGCAATCGCTTATACTCCACTTTAGTTGAAAATGAGTTACATTGTATAATTTTATTCAGATAAAACAAGTTTCACCGGGTTAGATGCACTGCTTTTATTTGTTTATTGACGTTTCGCAGCCTTTGGAGCAATGCGTCGTCAGAATAATTCCTGCAAAGAATGCGTAACTTCAATAAATAAATAAAATCAGTGCATCTAACCCGTTGAAACTTGTTTTAATTAAAGAGTGAGGTGCGGGAAAACCTAAGAAACAAATAGAAATAAGAAAGAAAGAAATAATTTATTGACCAACAAACAAAGCATACATTAAACAAAAAAGCAGAATAAGGTTAACTAGGTCTCTGGCCGCCGACACTAAGGCCGCTGCGGCGCTGATATTATGGCGGGGCCTAAGGTTGACGTGAATAAAAGAAGTCATAAAAACAAAAACACACAATCACGGATAAAAAGTACCACAAAGGATAAAAAAGTAAAAAATATGAAAAGGCTGTTGTTTTTTTCCTTTGCCTTAGCACAAAAAATAATAATAACCATATTTACACAAAAAAAAACTGTAATAATCATAATCTCTAGTCTGTGGAAATTTAATTAATTAATTGAGTACGAGCAACTTATTTAATTTATAGTATTAAAATCTCAACCAGTGTAACAATATTATCATTTTAATCAGATTTTTCTGCGTCAATCTGTTTATGTTTCGTGAAGATTTGAGTACTTTTTTGGCGGTTCAGCAACTAAATTTATTGTTCACAACGCTGAAGCCACATAAACTTTGGTGTTTTTGAACCAATGGCGCTTACGCCCTACTTTAGCGTATGATGGATTATTTATAAAATTTTATATAGATACGTTTTTGATGACATCAGGACCAATGCATGTTTTATAAGTTGTTGTTAAACCAATAAAATTAAATTTGCCTGCCAGCAGGTATCAGAGACGGCCCAACTGCTGCTACATTTAAAAAACGGTAGAAGGAACACTATCTATTCTCTTGAACCACTGTTTCTGAACTGTATTGCTTCTTCGTTTTAAAACTTGCATATTTTATTAAGTATATATCGACCTATCCATAGGATAAAGCTACTTCTGAATAATCCCTACTTTACAATAGAGCGATTTGAAGTTTGTAAGATGTAAAATTTGCTTTAACTTGTATTGGTATTTTTCTAGCATTTGATTTTTTTTACCAATCATATAAAGCATTGAGAAGCAAATGATGACGCATTTACTGTTTAAAAAACAACTACATTTATGGCTCATATTTTGTTATTAAATATACAAAATGTAAGATACTCTTAATGTTATGTGATTATGTGACAATTTCCTATGGACATCTTTATATTATACTATATATATGCATATCAGACCTTATGCTTGGGAAATGTGTCAATATTATGTGAAGATATAACTTTGTTTTACAAAATTTATATGTCCTGTCGCGTCACATTATGATAATATTACAAATAAGAAAAATAGAATCAAACATTTAGTAAAAACTATCAGTTTGTAACAAAATTGAAGCCGTGCAGGTTGCTTTCTTGCCAATCCAAAAGGTACTAGTGCTCTTGACTCTTTATTCTTCGGAAACAAAAATCATATGTACCTTTATTCAATTGCTATCTTCGAAATTATAGGTTTTAGAATAAATGTTTGTCGGAGGATGTGACGAGTAGAGTTTCTTGATGAATGTGAATCGCGAAAAGGCTGTTGTTTACACTTTAAATAATTTTATAAAATCTTAATTTAATTTGATTTTATTAATTACAATTTTTGTATTGTTCAGTAACTTAACAATTTAATAAAAGTCTCTTATAAATCATCTTATGTCGCGTCCAATCAGAGCAGAGCACTTGCCTCGAGGCGCCATCTTGATTTACACAGGTGGGAGGTAGTTTTTGAGCGTATTTAAAGGCGAGGAACTGATCGTAGCGGTTCATTACTAGAAAAGTGATACGGTAGTTCAGTGAAGTCAGATTGGTACCTTGAACCCACTGCTCGGTTGTTACGTTATTTAAGTGTCCTTAGTGTAAACTAAAGTGTGTGTGAACATTTTTATTTTGTTTTTGTTAAAAGAACGTAATTAAAACTATACGAACAGTGATTGAGTGATTGTTTGGTTTTGTGCCTGTATCAAGCCCCAATGACGCCCACTAAGCCCGTGAACGCTAATGACAAAGTGAATAGCCGCTCTCCGACATGTTTTTTTTTACCAGTAAAATATATGCGTCCGTTTCGCCTAAAAATAGTAAGATAGTTCTTTAAGAGTAATTTGATAACATTTTCATATGTAACTTTATTCTATGCATAGGTCGATATGTTTATTTGTACATCTATGTAGATATATATGTAGGTTTTGTTTATGTTAGTATTTTATTTTGTTATTTATATTCAGGAGGTACACACTGATGACTCTTTTATGTTCTTTCCTTTCACGGGCCTGCTGGAAGAAATTTCAATATGAAATAAGCAGTGCCCTTGTACAAATTTCTTGTTCCTGTACTTCTAATCTGTTTTATTGTATGTGTGTGTGTACTAAATTAGTAAATAAATAAATAATAAAGTCGCGGTCATCATAATCCATGTTATACCACTATACCACAGCGAGTGTTCTGAGGAGTTATTCTCCCTTATCCCTCCATCAACTTTTCTTCAGAGGACCACGCGCGCTGGCCTACGTTGCCACCGACTTACTGTGGCCACTATTCCTACACAAACAAAGAAATTTGGTGACTCATTTCTTTGTCGAACTATTCGTAAGTGGAATTCTATACCCGCGCAAGTGTTCCCTCCTTCCTATAATCTGTGGTCCTTTAAGAAAGGCGTGAAGAATCATTTTTGCAGGCCTGCAAGGTGAGGATGATTGGTGTAGCAGTTTATAACTGCTGTACCAGCTATCTTCGCGTTTGGACTTTATTACCCCTTAACATCAGGTGGGGTAGAGTCATTTGCCTACCTCTATATAAAAAAAAACTTACCATCATCTCCATAGTCCATCCCTGTATCATTATCATCTCCTTCAGCATTCACTTCCAATTTTATATCCTTCACTTTCACTTTACTATCAGTGTCGGCATCTGAAACAATATTCCCAAGTCATTCATCATCATCATCATCAGCCTATTAATGTCCCCACTACTGGGACACAGGCCTTGCCTATGAATGGAATAGGGGAACTAGGGCCATGACCCACCTCGCGGGGGGAGTGGCGGGTGCTAACGACTGCAGATGCAGCCGGTACCAACGGCTTAACGAAGCACGGAGGAACTCGAGATAGAAGATTTTTGGTCACCCATCCAATGACAGACCACTGCGAAAGTTGCTTAACTTCAATGATCGCAGCTGAACGCACTAACCACCCGCGCCATCGAGCTCCTAAGTCTCCCCAAGTCATTATCAACCTTAATCATCAACCATCGCTTGCCATCACCAGCACCCTGACAGCAAAGATAAGATAAAATCATTTATTGTCCAGAACTGTGAACTGTGTGTGAACTACAAATGGTTCTTAAAATTAGGTAGTGTAGTGCCAATAGTTTGCCCAAAGACATCATCAACAACTTTATTAATTATAATTTTTAATTTTTTTTTTTAAAGCATGTAACTGCTTGATGTTTAAATCTAAAGAAAATATAACTAGAAAAAAATCCACGCGGACCAGGCAGCAGACGGGACTCGAACCCGCACCCTTCGCAATCCGGGCGAATGCACTGACCAATTATGCTACCGCGACCCTCACGAACCGCGTCGAAATTCCTCTAGCCATTCTTAAGCTGCAATGCAGCGCCATCTCTTCGCATTATAGGTAACCCACAATGTCAAATGAATACTTTTACAAGTATTAAACATTTGAAAGAAGAAATAGCAATTATAGTTATAATTATTATTATTTTTTTAAAGCATGTAACTGCTTGATGTTTAAATCTAAACAAAATATAACTAGAAAAAATTCCACGCGGACCAGTCAGCATTCGCCCGGATTGCGAAGGGTGCGGGTTCGAGTCCCGTCTGCTAGCTTTATTAATGTTTGTATAATTTATGGAATCACAAAACATAGAAAGAGGTTAGAAAGGCCTTGTGGGCGGGCAGGCGCGCCACAGTTATGTGTAAGCAAATGCTCATAACTTGACCAAAACTTGGTTCTGCTTGCGTCGTTGCTCTCGGGTGTGAGCACTGATTGGTTCCATTGTTTGATGTCGCGTCGTTTGATTGGCTATAATCTATTAGGTGAAAGTGTAGTGGGGGCGAGCTTCTAACCTCTTTCTGTGTTCAGTGGAAGAAATGTTATGACGTCTGATTAGGCGAAGGAAGACAGACACATCTCTGGTTTTCGTTCTCTTTAAAGGTCATGAAAATGCAATATGCAAGCCGCTCCGGAGTCGTCACAACATCAGGTGAGGTGGTTATAAATCTGGCGCATATGATTTAACCTCATCTGATGTTAAGCGACGCTGGAGTCCAGACGCGAAGATAGGTAGTAAGGCAGTTCTACCTGCCACACCAGCCATCCTCACCCTGCTTCATCAGGACTCTTTGAAGAATCCCACATTATAGAAGGAAGGGTACACTGAGCTGGCAAAGCATTTCATTTGCTGATAGTGCGATAAAGAATTGAGTCACCAAATTTCCTTCTTCGCATGAGATTTTCTTTTCTCTTATACTTTCACCCACTTCAAATATTATATATAACTTTTAACAAGTAATATGTTATAATAATTATTTTTACAAGCACGTCACTGCTCGATTAAAAAAATTAAACATCTAGCAGTTATGTACATGGTTAAAAAATAAAAATTATAACAATATTAACTTGCGAGTTACCTACAATGCGAAGAGATGGCGTTGCCTTGCAGCTTAAGAAAGGCTGAAAGTGTTCGACACGGCCGTTAGGGCCACGGTAGCATAATTGGTCAGTGCATTCGCCCAGATCGAGTCCCGTCTGCTGCATGGTTCGCTTAGATTTTTTTTCTAGTAATATTTTGTTTAGATTTAAAGTAATATTTTATTATAATTACTCTTGAATTCCAGGCCCTTAAATAAACACAGAACAGGAGGATAAACATTAAACATGTTTTATAACTCGTTTAAAGCAGTTTTATTTACATTAATTACCTTCTTCATGCATCAGTATCCGGGCTTGCAGGAATCGTTCCTCGCAACGAAGCACCTGCTGCCTGAAAGTGGTTGCTTCGCGCAGTCGCGATACGCATGTAGCGCAAATCAACCTTTCGAGGGGTTCTCCATCTAGATTTGACAGCTATATAAACAAAAACATAACTTGATTTTATTACGTTGATTTTATTCCTCCGTGGCCGAGTGGTACGCTGGTGTTTCATGGTATCGCCGACTCGAGAGGCCTCGGGTTCGAATCATAACACAAGCCTTATAGTGCTTACTTTGGGGCTAGGCTAATGGGTGTGAGTGTTGGAAATATTTATTTATTTTTATTTTATTAGGACAACTAAATTTTTTTCTGGATAAGAAATATCCTTTGTCTCAAACCAGATAATAAACTAGATATGTTTGCCAAATTTTATTAAATTCCTTCAGCAGTTTACTGTTTTAATCAAGCCCAGCAGTAAAATACTCTCCAGTTAAATTTACTAAGACCTTTCACTCTATTAGAGGCAGACTTTTAAATAACTTTGTTACATGTAATTCTTCAGTTCTCAAGTATAGATAAATACTGATAGTCTAAGAGCTGGTGGGAGGTCAACATTCACCAATTTGATAATTTGACGAGATATATTTCATATCAAATACAATTAATAAACAAATATGCCTATGATGACTTGCCTATCGAAAAGTGTTCATAGCTATTTTTAATTTAATTAAAACAAACATTGTGATCGAAATCAGAGTTATAATAAATTAGAGTTCTCATGCTCCTATCGGCATAGGTAATATAATAATTTGTGCATGATTTTTTGCAGGCAAGCCTATATGATTGGTTTTGTAATTAAAATATCTTACCTATGATACAAATATTGATTGGTTAACCGATCGGTGTAGTTACCTATATTAACTTACATATTCATATCTGTTTGTCAGGTAGCCATGCACAGAAATAAGTAGGCAAGCCTACCTTGGCTTATTCGGTGTGTTAAAAACTATCAGTTGAGATAAAAGAGTGAAGGTGATGAAAGAAAATTGATTAAAATGAATTAAATTGAAAATAGCTATGAAGACTTTTTATAAGGCAAGTCATCATAGGCATATTTGTTTATAAATAGTATTTGATAATAAATATGTCTCATTGAGTTATCAGAACAGTGAAGGTCGTTCTTATACGGTCTCCCCTACTATGAGTTTAGAGTAAATCAGAATGCGAAATAAAACATCTAGCTAGCTACAAATGGAATTAAGTACCGTAAGTTATACTATAATGTACAAATAACCAAAACACTAGACATTAAAATTTTCAAATTTCAAATAAAATCAAATTAAAAATAGTTTTTTACCATACCATACCTGAGTTTACCGTAACGTAATTAAAATAAATTATAGAAATTGTGTAGACACTGTTGGAGAATCAAAAATGTATGTAGTTTGTGTAGGGCATTCTTGCAAAAAACACGAGAAATTGGCAAAATTATCCAATCGTTCCCGCCCGGGGGGCTCCTCGAAAGTTATGCACGCGACGTGTGGGAACGACAACCAAACGAGAGGATAAAACTTCAAAAAACAAACCCCCTTTTAGGGGGTACTTTATAAAAAAAATGCCAAATATTATGAACAGAAAAACCGTTCTGCAATTGCAATAGTAATACTCACCAATAATCCAAAACAGTCCATAAACATGTCTGAGTAAATTTCTTTCTTGCCCATCCAGTCATATTCCTGATTCAATAGCCGACATTTCTTTGAAGCTCCGCAACATCGGCATAAGCCCGGATCATACAAAGGTCCTTTTTTACTTACTGCACTCATTTTACGGCTTAATTATATCAAATTAACTGCACTCATTTTAGGGCTTAAATTGGCCATAATACCAACATCAATTTTATCAACAACTAATTATGCTAATGTTATGTTTCCAGCATAATTTAAACAGGTAATTAACTAGCATATCTATTAATTTGAGTGAATTTTCTTTAAATTAAAGCTAAATATAGTCAAATAGAATTAAACATGGAAAATTATTTACACTCGGTCAGAATGACCGACCATTACAGTGTTGCTAGATGACGAAATTAAAAATGCTGTAAGGTAGGAACAAAAACGTGGCATTTCAAACAAAAAAGTGGTATGTTGTTTTTTGAGCTACATAATACTACACGGACACGCAGATCTTACCACATACGAACTTTTTTTTTTATTTATTTATTACATTGTCACATTGATTAAGATTATAATATTAATTCAACACTTGCAAAAGAGATTCCACGATAAACGAACTTCGTTGACGCGAGGCGATATCGCAGATTTACGGAACCATTTACAAAAAGGCGGTAGAGAAAGCGAAAAAACGGTAAGATCAGACAGCACTGGACCACAGATAAACGAAGTCGAACGTCATTGTGTGATATCGGTATAGCATAGCTACTCCCTAAAATCGGTATATTTGACTTCAAATACGATTATTTATTTTAAAATAGACTAGGTACTGAAACTGTTATTTTTCTGGCTGGATCAAGATCCTTAATTTCCTTAATTAATTACCTATTGCATACGTAGTTATAGACGACACAGACAACTTTCGCACTCAATGATTTTCACACGTCCAAGTTTTCCTGCGCGTAAACACGGACGAAGGATTTCGCTTGTATAGCAACTGTCCCGCTCATGGACGTATGTGCTATGCTATAACAATAAAACGAGACGAGTCAGAGTGATAGAACCCTGCATCATCGCCCTCTCAGGGAATGATCGCTTCAGATGAAGCTTGTAAGGCCCTTCCAGCCATAAGCATGTACTACGACTATGAGGGTGTTTTAGTCACGACTTTACCTTGCAGCTGGCTGTGAGGTATTTATGAGGATTTCATACCCACATCCTCGCCTGGGAGGCAACAAAAAAAATGCATAGAACCGAGGCCATAGGGCAACCCTTTGATAAAAGGGGCAACCATATTATACTTATTTCATTGATGTTTCTTTTGAGGACACATTTTTTTCATTTTTTAAATAAATGCATTAAAGCAGGAAAGGAAGTTAAAATAGTCCAAGAGCTGGCACCAATTTTTCGGTAGGTATTTGAGGCAAGCTGAAAACTTGTCCTATACCTCTCTTATTATACCCCAACAGGGAACTGCAGACCTGTCTGGTGGGTGAGTAGCGGGGCTAAAATAATCAAACACAAATTTTTTTTATTTATTTTTTCCAATTTATTTGAGGCAATATGTAATTTTTGTAAGTTGTAGTCCAATGATTCAGAATATAAAAAAATAAGATAAAGAAACAGACGATTTAGTTGGGGTTTTCAAATTGCCAAATGGGTCCCAAAATATATTGAAAAAAATATTAAAAAATGTATGGCAATAAAAGTACTTATAGTATAAGTATAAAATGGCAACTTGAAATTTTAACAGGGTATTATTTACAATAAAAAAAATAAGATTTTCAAAAGACAGATCATTTTGGTGGGGCTGTCTAGGTAGAAATCTAGGTACAAATAATGCCAGGTGATCTAACAAATTATGTATAGGTGCGAGTGCGTAGCGCTATAGACAAGCTGTAAAATTAGAGAGAGCGTTTATCGGCAGCTGTCCGCGTTCTTACTTGCTGCGTTACTATTGGCTCAGGCGGGGTCACGTGACTTACAATAGCCATGAGGTTTCTATTAGACATTTTGGAATTTCTGTTAAAACGGTTTATATTAATAATTGTGTTGATTTGTTTTGTTATTTTGTAAATTTTAATATAAATCTCAATGTAATAACTTACTTCAATATTTGACATTAGTGCAAGAATATCACAAAATCAGATTTATTGAGATAAAATATTCTATAACTGCAGATTTATTATGAGTATAAAAATATAAGCTTAATTCATTCCACGTCAGAAACAAATTGTTATTCATCTTCCGTGGATGCTCCTTCATCAGAGCTATCAGAGTCTTTATCTGCGTCGGATTCGGCTACCTCTGCATCATCTGCGATAAGTAATATATATTGATTTATTTAATCAATCATAGAAAATCGAATGCAGCAGTTATTAAGGAAAAAATATTTATACGCACCGTCAGAATCAGGAACATTTCCACAGTGTTTGTTTTTTTCATGAACAACATCATCGAATACTGATTGCGGTATACTGTCCCCATTGAACCAGTGAAAGTGTAGCGTATCCTCATTAAGTTTCAATCCATTTTTATCCGGTGTCAAAGAGCTAGGGAAATTGCAAATACGTATTTCTCCAAATATTCGTTATTTATTGCGTTCTTATAAGATGTTGCTGTAATTCAGCCTTACATGGAGATAAAGTTGAGGGATCACAATTTTTTTAGTATATAAGTAGACTGAAGTGAGAATTGGTAGATCTACCAAAAAGTTAGTAGATATGACATTACTGCAGCTGCCGATAAACGCTCTCTCTCATTCTACAGCTTGTCTATAGCGCTACGCACTCGCACCTATACATAATTTGTTAGATCACCTGGCAGATAGAAAGCCCCACCAAAATGATCTGACTATTTGAGAATTCTATTTTTTTGATTATAAATAATAAATACCCTGTTCAAATTTCAAGTTGCCTCAACTACATTTTTTTCAAAATATTTTTGTACGTATCTGGCAATATTAAAACCCCAACGAAATCGTCTGTTTTTTTTAATATTCTGTAAACATTGGAGACTACAGCTTATAAAAATTACATATTGCCTCAAATATATTTTTGTTTTTTTTTTAATTTAAGGGTTGATTTAGCCCCGCTACTCACCAGCTAGATCTGCAGTTCCGTGTTGGGTTATAATAGGAGAGGTATAGGACAAGTTTTCGGCTTGCCTCAAATACCAACCGAAAAAAAAAGTTGTAGTTTTCGGTGGGATTTCATCGAGTGCGGTTGGCGTCATATTTTAATTATTCTTTAAATTCGTTTTAATGGATATTGTGAAATAAAATTGATGTGATTTTGTGTTACAAATGTCTTTGCATAGCATTTTTTATCTTAACTTATGCAATTATAATTATTTATTTATGCAGTTTTTTTTCTTTGATATTAATTCAAGTTTTTTCTTTGATATCAATTCATGTTACACTTTTTGAGCGTGGTGACCGATAAGAAAACATTTTTTATTTTATTTTATTGAAAAATTGAAAAGTTAATATTATTGTTTAAAATATTTTTATAATCTAACATGCGAGCTTCGTACAGTCGTACCATATACATGCACGTTAAGGTTCAACTATTCGCGGGCTCGAACTCACTCGTGGATGCGGCCAAAAAGCACGCTGTCTCACCTAGCATTGTGTCTAAGAGAGATAGAATCAGTTATGAGCAGTTAGTAGTTAGTCTACACGCATACGTCTAGTCGCACGCACACAAACACCGTGCCGAAGTCTGCCGAACTGAAACGACGTTAGACAATGCACAAGGCTTTCAACGCCGCACCGCTGTGCCGGTCGGAGTGGGGGGTGTTAAAAGAAAGAAAGAAAAAGGAAAAAATATTTTTTATAAAGTAAATATTCTGGCAGGGCCTGCTTGGAGTTATATAAGCTGGCGCGTGAGGCACTCGTTGATGTAGAGCCGAGCGCTACCCCCACGGCGATGGCCGGCGGGCTCCCCTCATCAGCGGTGTCCGGGGTGCCGTCCTCCGCAACAGCGACCCTGCGGGGCACACGCCAAGAGGTCGTCGCGCAGCTGGCGGAGCGCCAGGCGCACCACCACACGGCGATTTTGTATATAATTACGTTTTATAATGTATTTTGCACATCTCTGCAGCCGTATGAGCACCGCGATAAGATATATAACACGTTTTTATCACGCTCAACTGTCAAATCACTATGGAGTTTGACAGTAACACGCGGTAAAAAACATGATATACTTAATATAAATTGTGGTGTGAGCACCACAATTTACAGTCCCCTACCATGAATGTGGAGAGAAAGGGAAACTGGAGGGTGGGAGCGGCCAACTCAAAGCGAAGGCGTAGTACTTACCGTCTAAATCGGTTCAGTGGTTTGTGCGTTAAGCGGGCTACTGACATCCCTGCCGCAGAGGCAATCTAGGGTGTAATTGTGATTGGTAAAGTCAAACAAGGGCAATTTTCTACATAGGCCCAGCGGCAGGGAGGCAGGGGCGCGACCACAATTGGTTCCCAGATTGTCCTTACAACTCTGTATCTTGCCGATTGTGTAGCGCCATCGGGGCAATTTCTCAATCAGTTGGTTGGTAACTGTCACACGGAGCGAACGTATTTCGATCAAGATTGCAGCAGATCGTAATGAGCATGAAGTTTGGTCTCGATTGATAGATATATTATTATATATTGGCCGGCATGTGGGATAAAAAAACATCAAACATTATTACACTTCTGAACACATCTATTGGCCCACCTTAGAGTTTAGGTTTCGATGGCCCCTACCGAAATATGATTGCTAGATTAAACAAAACTGTTGATGCAGTTTTAAATCTGATACATTTTACCATCTTTTTCGATCGTATTGTATTAAATTTGAATTCAGAATACCATACGACATGGAGATACGCCTAACAAGTCGGATATGCGCCTTGTTAAAGGCAATTGATTTTTGAATAAAAAACATATTTTATCAAATAAAGGTTTAATTTAATAACGCGTGTTGCCTCCATGGGCATCTACCACAGCTCTCATACGATTAGGCATAGAGTTTATCAACCGCTCTATGAAATTTTGAGGGATCATCTCCCATTCCTCTTCTATGGCAGTTTTCAACTCCTGCATCGTCTGGGCAACTGGCTGACGAGCCCTAACACGTCTTTTTAGCTCTTCCCACATATGCTCAATGGGGT